AAGATAACCCTTTAATTTAAAAATACATATGAAGCTTCTTCTAGAAAGGAATTTCAAGCCATTTTACTTTGGAGAAGAAAGACTTAGCAACAGATATTCTGATGGAGTTGACACATCCAATTTTTCATCCACCACTGGGAACTTCAAAAAGAGTAAAGCTGAGTATGAGGAGGACTACCCAGGTAAATGAGACAAAAATGCCTTTTAGAACTTTAAGTTGTGCACTGGTATTTTGTACAAAATGCGTTCTTGTTAATGTTTTGAATCAAAATTTTTTAGTGGAGGCAATATTATGAAGTAGTGTAGTGTAGTGTAAAAATATGTAAAGTTGTTATTGTTTTGGATAGTTTTTGAAAAATAAAATTCAAAGTTTGGGACTTTTTTAACCATTTGATATGCAGTTAGTTTTGAGATGCATAATGTAAATTTAAACTCAGACATGAAAAATATTTTCAGATAAGCAATTATATTGTTTTTTATTTTTATTTTTATTTTCAGGTTTTGATCTAATTTTTGGTAAAGAAATGGCTGTTTATTTGATGGGCAAGTTGGACACCATGGATTATATACCTTCTGGTTATCAACACACCTTTCTGATAAGAAACCCAAAACAGGCAACCCCAGATCTGTACAAGTGTCTAACTGATAAAGAGAGAAATGGTATTGAATCTATTGTATTTTATTGTTTTTTGCTATTTAAAGAGTTATATTTTCATTGAAATTGAAATGTCATATAATTTTTCAAGTGTTTTGCTTATTTGTTTTTAAAAATATTTTTAAGGTTATGTAGAATTTATTTTAACAAAGTATTATTTCTTGCATAGGTAGAAAAATGTTTTCTTATGTGCTGATATATATATATATATATATATATATATATTTTGTCTTAAGGGTGTGATCATTTTGACAAACTGGAAGCCACCTATAAACCCATACATCAATTGTTCCATTTGATCAAGAAAGAAACTGGCCAGACCCCAGTGTTGATAGATGCAGATGATCTTTTGAATGATCCAGGTTATTTTCATAACTTCACAACTGATATTTTGTTGTATTTTTGGTCTGCTTCATAGGACATTTTTAAGAATAGTCAATGCATGTGAATTTTAAAGAAACAGGATTAAATTTCCAAATGATTTGATTTGGCATACGGATAAAATTCCAAATTAATATTAATTTATTATTTAATTTTTTAATGAGGTCAGTCAAGTCATCATTAATAGTGGACCGTAATAGCAGATTGAGATGAGTCTCTTTAATCCGAAATATTTATTCAGATATTACTTAAGATCTTTTCTTCTGCTTTTCTAGCTGGCATTGTGAAAAGGTACTGCTCATTAACAGGGATAGAATTCGTCCCCAGTATGTTACAGTGGGAAGCAGGCTCCACCAAGGACACTCACTGGCACCGTTGGCCTGGGTGGTACGAGGAACTGACAACAAGCACAGGGTTTAAGAAACTTGAAGAGGTATCATCTCAGAAACCACCTGACCTGAATGATTTACCAGTAGAGGTGCAGGAAAGCATACAAGAAAACATGCCTTTGTATGAGGAACTTAAAGAATACAGAATTCAAGTATGAAAGCAGGTTTAATTTTTTTTGCTTGCCATATGATATAAGTGCAGTTAAATTTTAGTTTATGTTGCACTATTACCACTCACATGTATACATGCAAGTGAGGAATTTCTACATGTGTGAGGATGGTAATGTCAACTGGAGGGTGCTTAAAGGAATTTATTTATTTATTTATTTATTAAATCTTTATTTTATGAGTGTAAAATTACAGTATATCTATAATTGATCTTTCCAATGGTCATCATAAGGCATGAGGGTATTTTGTTTAAAATGATATAGTGCATTACACAACTTAAATGTGTCAATTGTTTGAACTTTGTTAAATTGTTGAAATACATCGAAATTCAAGCTCATGCATGGAGCTCCATGATGTCAAGAGATAGTAATTATTAAATGTAAGTTATATTGGAAATGTGTTAAGATGCAGTGCCGAAAACATTTTAGGTAAAGTTAACATTGGTCTTGAAAGAAAAGGAATTTAAAATGTAATCAATATCAGTTTTCATGGAATCTTTTATACTGTTTAAATATAAGAATTGCAAAAAATAGTAACATATTTTGGTAATCTCTGAATAGAATTTCAAAATATCAAGTAGTTGCTGTTTAGGCAACAAGATATTTCTCAAAAAAGATAAGTTGCAACTTATATACCATACTTGTTTAAAATATAGTATATGCATCCTTTTAAGCATTAACCTCTATCACATTTTAGTGATTATATTTTGAAAGTTCAAGAGGCATTTGATCACAACTGCTTTTTACTTTTTCTTTTTACATTTGGCCAGCCAAGCTCTTGGTTTTTTATATTAATTTTGTTAAAATCTCATTTAATTATATAAATGACAGTGTGTTAAATTTCTTCTCAGTGTTCTGAATATTTTTATACCTGAAATTGCTTGAAAATAAAGGAAAGTGTTTTGAATATACTTCAAAACAGCATTTTGTTCCTGAGACTTTTCCTGGGTTTTAGGCGATGCAAAAATTTTTTTTTTTTTTTTTTTTTTTTTTAGTATTTTGCAGTTCAAGGTACTTTTCCTCTATTAAATTTATTGTTATGAATGCCTTTCTATTGACATACGGACTACAAGGACTAGTAGGCTACTTTTAGACCGATTTATTTGCAGTTTGGAGGAAAAGAATGCCTTGCAGACAATTGGAAATCCTATTTTAACTTACGTTCAATTTAGAACCCACCAAAAGGGTCTATGTATCGTGTCTATAACAGAAAAATCTTGTGAACATCGTATATAAAAAGAATAATACTACGTAAAACGGACTAAAACGTTAATGGCTAATCCTATATCACAGAAAGTTTTGGCAAGACCATGACGTCTAAGAATCCTAGGATGTTTAACATTAAAAAAAAGTAATGTTTTCTGCACTCGAACTACAATATGTATGGAATCAAAGCTGTGAACGTCTTTAAAAAGCGTCTTCATGAAAAGCAGAAATATAAAAATTGTTCGAAAATCTCACGTGCAATCATACATTTTTAAACCAAGATGCGTTTATCATTTACAAATAATTCCACTTTTCCAGTGACTTGTGCGATCGAACAAACAATTTCAAAAAACGAAAGCAAAAAATAGAATTTACTACAAATGTATATGCTTTCCTCGTCTTACCCACTCGGCTCGTAATGATATTGAAATCGATTATAAGCGTCATTTCCTTGTCCTCTTGCTGCTTTGTAAAAATATCTAATTAAGAACTGATCCTCAAGTAACGGTGGCTTGTTTTCACTAGCAACCAAAATCCACGTAAGACTAGTCTTCAGTCATTTATTTTCCCCTATTACTCTAATAAATCGTAAGAGCTTCTTTTATGGCAAGAGAGAGTAAGATCAGCACATGGCTTGTTACACTTAGATTTTGTGCGGAACTCTCCGGAATAGGAACACTGCCTTCTGTGTAATTGGAACCAGCCCCTGAAATTAAATATGGACGTAAAGTGTCTTGTTAAAACAAACAAACAAAAAATTAAATGAAGATGCGTGTGTGTTTATCTTGTAAAAAAGAAAAAGAAACTCAACTCGCGGTTTTAAGGGCTATGTCGTAAATTCTGATTGATCAAAAATAGAATACCCTTTGTTCACTTGCACATAAAAAGTGAAAAAATAGAAAAGTGTAAATATTGCTAGATGTCAATTAATTAATACATTTTCTGACTCACCAGAGCAGCGTTTTTTACAATTTTGGTAGCTACTAAAAGTCACGTTTGTGTAAAAAAAATAATAGTTGAAAGTTCATATTTGATGAAGTTCACAACATTGCACTGACTGATATCTAGCACCCATGCACAGTCACTTACATGGACACACATCGCACTGGTGAGGACAAGAGACTGTTGTACCGGCATATTTCCTACAGTCTGCCATGGATAGGTATCCTGCCGATTTACCGCAGTAGTACTCGTCTTTCACTTCATCGCAGTTCACTGCAATAAAAATGCCCGTTGAAATGCACATTGTAAATTTAGTTCTCATATTCGGCTAGCCCGGAAAAGGAGGAAAAAGAGAAAAAAAAGGTCAACTTACATGCACAGTTGTCTGAAGGTTTATAACTGTTGGTTAAGCAGTCGCAGCTACAGTTATTGTAATGCATTGTCGCACTATTCAGACACACTTTGTTTTCGCAGTCTGTAAAAGTAAAACAATAGTTTTAGTAAATGATGAAATAGCGAAGAAATAACAATCAAGAAATTGCCAGTAAATGTCTTCCGAGTCGCTTTCTTCAAATATTAGATTATTAAGATTTAAATACTTGGCTTGTACTGCAATACAAACACCTATGACCTATGTATGTTATATTATAAATTAATTGTAATTTCTTTTCTTAATCAAGGCAACCGTCTCTATTATCTATGCAAGCCAACCACCTCCACAATCTATTTCAAATTAAAACAATATATGTTTTTTCATGGGCTCATTCTATTTCGTAACATGTGGTGCCGGCGGCAATAATCGGATTTGAGCATCGAGAATATAAAAACTAAAATAAAGTAGAAAAGCACTTAACGAGCGCAAACCTCCACCAAGGAGTTATAACTCCTTGCCTCCACCAAGACAAATTGTTGACTAATAATTAGTAATTAATTAATTTATTTATTTATTAATTAATGGAGCATCACCAAACTCTAACCACTTTAGCCCATCACCAATCCTGAAAGTTTCATCAAAATCCATCCATAACTTTTGCGTTACGCTGGTGACGAACGGGCAGACAAATGTAGGCGAAAACATAACCTCCTTGGCGGAGGTAACGAAAATGGTTGAACCACGTATCCATCTCAAAGGTGATACATTAAAACTGGCCCTATGCGATCCGTTACTTGCTACTTCTGTTAGTGAAAGCACGGAAGAAACAGATACTTGTTATCCGTTTTTAGTAAACATGTACACTTTTGCCAATTTATTTGAAAATTCGAATTCGGCGGCAATGGAATTATGTGGAATTTCGTTGTCATTATAAACTTTTCTTGGAAAACCACACGGGTAGGCCCGCAAAACAGTAAATAAAACAGCTAGGGCAGTCTTACTGTATAAAACCTATTACTTGAAAACAGCTTACCACAAAGAGAATTGCTACAATGATTGCTGCAAGCAGAGCACGCCTTCCCCTGCTTGTAAGGCTTACTGAATCCACCCACGTTGCCACTAGATGTAAAATATTACAGTAATAAAATTATATTTTTTTGGCAGAAACAAGCAAGATTGAACGCAACAGCCACAAGAACCAAAGGATGTAAATGTGAATCAATATTTTTACTCTACAATTGGGGATAAGTTTCTAACAAATAAATTTAAAAAATATAACCCATCCCGCATCAAAAATATGCCAGAAATAGAGACAAAAAAACTGAAAAGGATTTTTAATATAGAGTTTGGTATTTTCACTTACGCAGGTCCATAGTCACACACGTATATTTTGCCTGCCTCACCACAATTAGCAAAGCCACAGCCTATTCGTGAGCTAGCGGCCCACACTAGCTGAAAGTAAATGACAATTTGATTTATACCCTTGAATAATATCTGTTAATTGTCAGTCCTATGCTCACGCAATCGTTTTAGTATTGTCAGGATATTTGGAAAGTATCTTAAAAACACATTTATGACTTCCCCCCTTTGAAAAGGGAATAGGGCTGGAACCAGAAATCAATGTTGATAAGGGGGAAGGTCCGACTATATAGCGTGTTGCTATTGCTACCTCCCTTCAGAAATGATATTAAAATAGCACCTGTCAAAATATTAATTCAAATGAGAACTATAGAAAGAAACAAAATAAGATTTAAAAAAGCATCATCCCGCATTTGTATGCTAGTTCTCCCGGAAATAGTTACCTGAGTATAATGGCCCACTTTACCGAAGTCCATATCTTCATCTCCATATGTAAAGTCCTTGATTTCATCATACCAAGCCTGGATTACAGCTTCCCACGACTTGTAGCCCTTTCCCAGGTTCTGACCGACGGAATATTTTCCTACGTAACAACAACCGAAGCTTGGTATTTTATTCCATTTATGGATTTTTATTTTTTATTTTTAACCGCAAATAGAGAGTAATCAATTTTTCTTCTGAAAATGTAAATTTTAAAAGAGTAATAACGCTTTTCTAATGAAAAGACAAATGTTTTGTGCATTAGCAATACATATTGTAAAACGTGTCAGTTATTCTTACCAGGTACCCGCCTTAATTCACCAGGCTCGTGGTCATAATGACAGTTGTCGGCCCAGCCTTGTGCAACCTCTGCGATTTCTTCGTCCCAGTACTGCGACGAATAAATGGATATGGCTGTAAATCAGTATCACAACTAACACGCGCGCGCGCGCGTACACACGCACACAAAGAGAGAGAGGGGGGGGGGGGACAGATGAGTGAATGAGTGAGTATTCAATTCACTACATTGACAAAATAAAGTTGAAAAATTTTTGGCAATTTCAGTTGTTTTGCTCTGATCTTGATTCAAAATATCTGTTACTATGAAAAAAATCGGCTTTGTGAAGAGTGGCAGTCATCAATACGATAATTTATAATAGGCATCTATATTTAATATGGTACTCCCTCAGACTAACTGATCAACTGCCAACATTTTAAAAAGACGCGTCAAAACTTACATTAAAATATGAATTAAATCAATTATCAAATGAAAAATGTCATTAATTTAAAAAGGCATTTTATCAAGTGTTCTGTGGATGCTCATTTACACATCACGATAGAACTCACCATTTTCATCATATTTGATGCTTCATGATCATCAGCCGTTGCTTTTCTTAATTCATTGTGTTTGCGTACAATGGTTGCTATGTCGTTTTCAGTCACACCTAAAGCATCCATAGCACTGACCATAAGACACTGTTCAATTTCGATAATTTATATGCAATTTTTTCAGTCAGATGAAAATTCCCAGGTAAACCGTAATCATTTCAATTACGAAAAAAAAAATCAGAAATACTCTTTTCTTTAATAAATCAATCGACAATCTACAAATTTCAGAGATGTCCTGAGCTCACTATTGAGAATAAATTCAGATTGACTAATTTATATACTGACCTCCTGATAACTTTCATCATTAAAATCTCGTGATTGATGAAAGACTTAAAATTTAATTTGCCATGCTTAGCCTTGGATTTACAGCTAGATTAACATTTTCTAAAATGCATAACAAATCACCAGCGGGCTAAGATTAAATACACTATCACGAAATAAGTTAATTTTTGTCCTTGTGGTTAAAATATCAAAAGCTTACCCCCAGATTCCCATTTAATAGATTTTGGTAGGCACGCTGAGTGTCTTGGCCACACAGCAAATTTATCTTTACATTTTTCTGCTGCTGCTGCTGTAGAAACTGAAAAAAAATTAAAGTCGGGCTTGTTATTGCAGAGAGATGAAAATGGGAGCAAAGGGACTTATTTTCTAATCGTTGGTAATATTATCGAGACGCATTATTTGCTCTTCGCAGTATACACACTGATTTTTAATCCTTTTTTAGGGGGGGGGTATCCGATTTTATTTTACAATTTCATTTTTTGCGACCACTGAATGATTCAAATAAAAAATGAGCTAATGAAATTACGAATCGGTTTCTTATGACGTCGCCACTACCATTCTAAAATAAAAGGTGCTTATTTGATAATAAAAGTCTGCCGCTTTCCTGCACGGCAATGGGCAGAAGAAAGTTGCCGTTAACACCCTGAACCTCAAGGTGGGCTTACATTACGTTAAGTAGATTTATTAATCGATCATTTAATTTCATCTAATTCATTTGGGAAATTTTGTAGACCATTATAGATATTGGATTTCGAGTCTTAAAAATTCAATATAGTAGTATTGGAAGATCATGCAAAATAAAGGTTTTCTTTTCATATGCACACTGAACCGACATACACGCATGTAGAATAGAATAGAAAGACGGGATTTGGTGATGGTCTAGGATTTATGCATCAAAAATAATTGCAAGGCAGTACATTTCTGTTTGAAAGTAACGGAAGTTTTTTCTCTCAGTCCTTTCATCGACCCATCTAAATCCTTATCATTTGCACTTTAAAAGAGACACGTTTTTTTCTTAATAAGGCCTATATTGATATTAGAATCCTTTCTTATCGAGATCACAGTAAGAAGGTGCACGATCCCTTGGAACTCGTGAAATAATGGAGACAGTAACCATGGCGTAGACAATGTCGTAGACAATTGGGAATAATCCTTTCATTACAGTTTTGTAGAAAAGGTAGGCGAAAACGAAAAAAAAAAAGAACTAATACAATTGGGGGCGTAATGATAGAACAGCACTTTTGGTACCCACACTCATCCATAGCTTATTATTTAAATTGTGTTTAGCAATTACAATGATGTATGGTATGTTACTTTCTTATGTTGTAACACTTAGTCTTGCCATGATTTTACAATACTAATATTATTTGCATAAATCGCTATTTTTCAATATCTACAGGAAAATAAGCTAATCATTACCGCCTGTGCATAGGTTAACAACTGATAACGTGTTTATATTCCATGGCTTTTGATGAACACGAATGGCCGTTGATTAACTGATTATCTAGATTTGGATTAGCTAGTTACTATTTTGAAGCAATAAAATTATTCATCGTTTACGCGTGTACCCCATACTAACGTATTAACAAAGATTAATCACTCTCGGTTTATCAGGTTAATAACCATACCACAATTGAAACACTTTGGCATTATGAAATTGTCAAATCCTTAACAACGCCCCTAGAAACTATTAGTCAGTAAATGGTGCTGTGCGTGCAAAATCGGAAGTCTTTGAGACGAGAACCAACATGTGCCGCATCTCGACAGAGATTTATCAACGTTATGAAAATGATCAAATTCCAAATAACATGCTCAGTTTCGGTGGACGTACAGTACGTACAAAACAAAAACCCGTTATAATACCTTTAACCCGTGACTAGACCCCCCCCCCCCCAAAAAAAAAAAAAAAAAAAAACGTATATGGTGAATCATATGAGAATAATGTATTGGTAACACCCCAAATAACAGCCAAAGATACCCACCCGCGGCGTTGTACTTGTAAAAACGAACCATGATATTACGTTTCCCTTTGCTAGACGGCTTATTTTATTTCAGGAACATTTTTAATCTACCTAAGCAACGTCGATTCATGAAATATCGATTCCAAAGTGTTGAGGTTAATTTTGGAGGGTCTCAAAATGATAACGTATCTCATTTCCCCACAATAATGGATTTTGTCCAAAGGTAAATGTCCCTAATCGGCAGAGTAGGGCAGGATGAATTATAGCAATGCAGTTATGCAGACCGACTGATTAATTTACAGAATGATAGTTAGGGATATCAAGTCGATTGTGAATCCTTGCGTACATCTTCATTAAAAGTCTTTTATCTTCAAATCATGAAAATAATTCGTCATAAATCCCTAAAGGGCGTTGAGGCGGGTGGGGAGGGGGGAAGCACTCGGTAGTATTGATAGCAACGGATAACCTGAAACAACTAAATTAACAGGCATTTTCTGACGCTCGCGTACTTGCATGCTGTACTTCCCTCATCAAGTTTCAAGAACACATGTATATCTATATGCATTAACATCTATGCCTTCGTATATTTCTTTGCACATTGAAAAAATACTAAGATGGAACAGATAGGGATATCCTTGTTATGTCCTCAGTTCAAAGCTTTGACTCGGTATTTTATGAAATTTAATATCAGATACAGTGGAATATATGTAACGTACAATTGAAACAAGCCTATATGTAACCGATATATTTTTCTTATATTCTGTGAAATAAATAAAGACCTACATACCACATAGAAACAAGGCTCCCAGTGCCAGGTGCGTAGGTCTTACCATGGTGAAATATATCTTCCGTCTAAACTGATTTTTTGCAGGAGAATCTCTCAAATCTCCACAGGATCCGGGCTTGTTTTTGCCTGGAGTTCTTCGAGTGAGCAGGCCCGGGAGGTAATAACAGAAGAGCTCCAATTACAATAGCTAACTGAATATTAAATGGCCCGGCGATTTAGGTATGTCAACATTGCTGTTAATTTAGCCTTACCTAATTGTGTAGCGATTTCAATGGATTTAGCAAAATATTGGAATCTGACTAATTGTGTTGATCGCGTAGTTTCATCAACTGGAGTTAATGGGCACCCGACAAATGTGCGACAATAAATGATAATATCCAAGACACTAAGATTCAAAACAAAAACAAATCCCGATTTGGTGAAGTGGTGCTCGTAGTCAAATGATGCGGCGAAACGCACTAAAGACACGTTCACGCGATTTAGCTGGCACCGAGGCCCAACCCTGTGACTTATATGAATTGACGCAAAATGTGTATTATGAAATGAGGTTGTATTATAATTGGGCATATCAGCCTCACGCTAGAGTAGGCGGGCACCGGACTAGATGTTCTTATCTGCAAAATCTTTCGGTTTATTGGATGTCTGGAAAGAGAGTAGAGAGACAAAAGTACTTTTGGTAAAAGGGAGAGCAGGTAGTGTCTTTGGCGTTAAAATAAAACTGACATTTTAATCAAATAATGTTCTTTACGTTCAGGTATTAAATTAATCATATTTAACAGATTCGTATTTCATAGAGCGCCCGTGTTCTCCTGAAATTCTTTTATTTTCGTCATTTATTCCTCACGATGCAACTAAATCAAAATATATTGTTATTTTCCCCACACTTTTTGCATTGTTATATGTCCGTGTTTTATATCTGTGCTCTATCTTTGTTTATATAATGTTTGAGTTTGACACATGCAATTTGGACCTTTTTCAAGATTTGTTTGCTGTTCTTTTCTTATGTTTAGTAACACTCCAGTAATTGATAAAACTTGGGGATTGGGTAAGATGTCCNCCCCCCCCCCCAAAAAAAAAAAAAAAAAACGTATATGGTGAATCATATGAGAATAATGTATTGGTAACACCCCAAATAACAGCCAAAGATACCCACCCGCGGCGTTGTACTTGTAAAAACGAACCATGATATTACGTTTCCCTTTGCTAGACGGCTTATTTTATTTCAGGAACATTTTTAATCTACCTAAGCAACGTCGATTCATGAAATATCGATTCCAAAGTGTTGAGGTTAATTTTGGAGGGTCTCAAAATGATAACGTATCTTATTTCCCCACAATAATGGATTTTGTCCAAAGGTAAATGTCCCTAATCGGCAGAGTAGGGCAGGATGAATTATAGCAATGCAGTTATGCAGACCGACTGATTAATTTACAGAATGATAGTTAGGGATATCAAGTCGATTGTGAATCCTTGCGTACATCTTCATTAAAAGTCTTTTATCTTCAAATCATGAAAATAATTCGTCATAAATCCCTAAAGGGCGTTGAGGAGGGTGGGGAGGGGGAAGCGGTCGGTAGTATTGATAGCAACGGATAACCTGAAACAACTAAATTAACAGGCATGTTCTGACGCTCGCGTACTTGCATGCTGTACTTCCCTCATCAAATTTCAAGAACGCATGTATACGTATCTATATGCATTAACATCTATGCCTTCGTATATTTCTTTGCACATTGAAAAAATTCTAAGATGGAACAGATAGGGATATCCTTGTTATGTCCTCAGTTCAAAGCTTTGACTCAGTATTTTATGAAATTTAATATCAGATACAGTGGAATATATGTAACGTACAAATGAAACAAGCCTATATGTAACCGATACATTTTTCTTATATTCTGTGAAATAAATAAAGACCTACATACCACATAGAAATAAGGCTCCCAGTGCCAGGTGCGTAGGTCTTACCATGATGAAATATATCTTCCTTCTAAACTGATTTTTTTGCAGGAGAATCTCTCAAATCTCCACAGGATCCGGGCTTGTTTTTGCCTGGAGTTCTTCGAGTGAGCTGGCCCGGGAGGTAATAACAGAAGAGCTCCAATTATAATAGCTAACTGAATATTAAATGGCCCGGCGATTTAGGTATGTCAACATTGCTGTTAATTTAGCCTTACCTAATTGTGTAGCGATTTCAATGGATTTAGCAAAATATTGGAATCTGACTAATTGTGTTGATCGCGTAGTTTCATCAACTGGAGTTAATGGGCACCCGACAAATGTGCGACAATAAATGATAATATCCAAGACACTGAGGTTCAAAACAAAAACAAATCCCGATTTGGTGAAGTGGTGCTCGTCGTCAAATGATGCGGCGAAACGCACTAAAGACACGTTCACGCGATTTAGCTGGCACCGAGGCCCAACGCTGTGACTTATATGAATTGACGCAAAATGTGTATTATGAAAATTGGGCATATCAGCCTCACGCTAGAGTAGGCGGGCACCGGACTAGATGTGTTCTTATCTGCAAAATCTTTCGGTTTATTGGATGTCTGGAAAGAGAGTAGAGAGACAAAAATACTTTTTGGTAAAAGGGAGGGCAGGTAGTGTCTTTGGCGCTAAAATAAAACTGACATTTTAATCAAATAATCTTCTTTACGTTCAGGTATTAAATTAATCATATTTAACAGATTCGTATTTCATAGAGCGCCCGTGTTCTCCTGAAATTCTTTTATTTTCGTCATTTATTCCTCACGATGCAACTAAATCAAATCATATTATTATTTTCCCCACACTTTTTGTATTGTTATATGTCCGTGTTTCATATCTGTGCTCTATCTTTGTCTATATAATGTTTGACACCTGCAATTTGGACCTTTTTCAAGATATCCTTTGTTTGCTGTTCTTTTCTTATGTTTAGTAACACTCCAGTAATTGATAAAACTAGGGGATTATGTAAGATGTCTCTTTTCTTGATAAGACTGCAAACATGATCTGAAAAGTTCACCGAGCTGAAATACCGTACACTGAAGAGGAGGAAGTAGCACAGGGCGTTGCAACAAATAAAAAATGAATGAGTCAAAAGCAAAATTGGAACTTGACAGTATTTTTTGAACGGATTGCAGATGACAGGCTAACTGGCAATTTTCTTCGCAGCTTAATGTAACAAAACACAATGGTATGTAAGGGGAGGATAAGAAAATATGCGAAGAACACATTTTTTACGATCTTATTGCCATTTTCTTTCTTGTAAATGTTTTATCGGGGCTGTAAGGAAGATGTATACAGCAGATTAGACCTACTGCCATGTGAATTATTTCAATTTATTTTTGTATTGGTATGGGATGGAAGACGGGGCAGGAAAAATAAATCATTGACGCTGAAGCCACCGAAGTTAATCATACTAAGATGGGTTTTTTTTAACTGGCATGGGCATAGGTTCAAGTGTGCACACACACACACACACACACTCGGTCTTATACGCGCGCAAGTACTCGGTTCGTACTCAGGCGCACACAAGTACGCACATGCGAGGGCACTAACTTGTCATGCGTATAGAATGAACGCATGCGCTGGTTGGGGGTGGTGGGGTATTACGGCCAAAACGGACTGCGACGTAATATTGCAATGACTCGAGCACACATGTAGCAGGCAACGCTTTGGCAACAAAATCGTCCAGGTAATTTAAATAATTTCCAATCTAATTTGAGCGGTAAAATATTTGATCACCTACTCAACACAGACACGTGTAGGCCTACATGTAATTGTAGAGCGTTACCGCCCTTCATCCTGTGTTGTAGGACGTTATACTGTAGCAGCTGACTGTATTGAACGTTACTCTACATCATTAGTCATCTTTTAGTCCCAAACACCCTTGCATTTGTTGTTGGGCGTGAAAGAGGAGATATAAACCAGATTGGACGCGCGCTTATTTCCTCAAATCTGAAAACAAACCCCATTTTATTTGGCATTTATCATATTCAACGTTTGCGATCATCATTTTTTCCAAGACCTCACCTCCATTCCTTTAAGGCCCCGTCACACTTATTCGGAATCAGCAGGAATCAAGCAGAACCAGCCGGAATGACTAAATTTAAAAATTCGTATTATATCCGGGTAGAAATTTCAAATTGACCTAAATACTTGCAAGAATGCCGTTGGAACACTCAGAATGCGCTTGAATCCGCCTGGAATGATTCGTGCACATTTCGGCTGTATTAGCTCTCAAATGCAGCTCGAATGTAGTTGGAAAACTAGGTATATCAATAATGCTGTCAGAATGCAGTCAGAATTTTTAGAATACCCTTCAAATGCCGCACGAGTGTAGTTCGATTCTTGGCTGAAATAGGATCGAGTTGCATTCTGGCTAGTTCTAGCAGGATATGAAGTGTCTTGCCGTTTCGGTTCTCCCTCGAATGTGATTAGAATGTTTCGAATGCTGTCGGAATACCGTTAGAATATTTAGAATGCAGTCATAATGCAGTTAGAATACTAGTCAAATGCCATTCGATAATTTTCTACTTGGAATGCACTTTGAAAGTTTTCAACATGAGCAAAACATTCGGGCCGGCCACAAGAATGGGTAAAATATTTGGAATGCACTCGAATTTTTAGAATGCTCTTGGAATATCCAGGAACGCACAAAGAATCGTCTTTCCGACGGCATTCTAGCTCATTCCGCCTCTAGTGTGACGGGGGTATTAATTTGTTCCCCTCTCAGTCCCTTGACGTCCTTTAAAACTTAAAATAGTACATTCAAACAATGGTATGACGTGCCAAGATTATACAAGATCACTTATCTCTAATAGACTATCAGTTTTCACACAGGCTTAATGAATGACAGGAATCAATGCACATTGTCTAAAATCGCTTTATTTTCAATGGTTTTAATTATTATAAGATTTGGCAAGCAGTATCTGGGTTCGTTTTTTTGTGTAACGAACTCCACGTCATCTCATCAATAACAAGTGACAGTTTCATTGCCAATATTTCTTATTTCTGTCCGATTAGTATGACAATTAATCAAAAAGCTGTTTCTAACAAAATCTCTAAGCAAATTCCCATCTCTTGAAGTATATGCACTTAATACACTTTAAATTATTAGAAATATTGTTGATATAACATTTCACTGGACATTCTACATCTAGTGTATAAGAATCTATGGATGACTAGTCTTTATCAAATGATAACATTTGCAAAGTCGCACATCTTCCTAGAGTAAATGCAATGGTATAAGTGATCATCAACATCCTTTCATTCAATATAATCTTGGAAAAAAAAATAATAATAATAATAATAGACCTGTTACTGCCTTCAGATCAATGTAATATTGAAGGAATACAACAGGGACCAGAAGCCATTTTCAAATCTATTAAACCAATCAAATGCAGCAAAACAACCATCTACTTAAATATTCATGTACTGAAATTTGGAATAGTAGATGATATGTCAAATGCAACAGTACAATTGGCCAACTGGTCAATAGTAGGCAATTTTTCAATTGATTTTTCATAAACCTGAAGATACGTGACACAAAAATCAATCAAGCTATATTCAGAAAATGTCATCAAAATAAAAATCTGTACACTACAAAAAAAAGTGCAGCTCATGGGAGACTACTTTTCCAATATTTATTTACTAGTATGAAATTGGGCAACCATGCAGTAGTATTTCAGCAAGCAATTTTTCTACAAAAAGAGGTAAAAAATCTTATATCAATTAATAAAACAAGAACATGACTTCAATCCAACAAAGATTATATGCCATTATACATCTCAATTCAATGATGGTTTTTCATTACAGTATCCAGTCAGAAACGTTGACATCACTAAAATTCTTCCTGGCTACATGACATCAACAGTTTTTATAACATTTCCACAATTTATTATCTCATCCCTTTCTAAACTCATCCTGAAAAGATTAAAAAGATTAAAAAGAAACAGAAAACTTTATGACCAAGAGACCATGTTCAACCAACAGCAATCAACTTAGTAAGCTGTGAGAATGGCTAAAACTTGTTCTTGACTTGCTCAGGAAAAAAAATCATGGCACGCTGACTAGTGAATAAACTTAATTCAGGCTCGTGCCTTGGCTGTTGATGATGATGTGTTGATGCAGTCGTGTCCCAGTCAATGACAGATCTTAGCATTACATAAATGTCTGTCACCGACAGTTCTTAGGAGTTGTAGAGATGCTTCGTCGTTCATGTTGATCACTGCTGTCAGACCTGGTACTAGATTTTGATCTTGACTTGGAAGTGCGACGGGATTTGCTGCCATTAGGTGTCAGGGATCTACTGGTTCTTCTCCTATAAGAAGTGTATAGAGAATCATGTTACTGATGCTTTCATGGATTATATGGTGATTGTAAAACCTAGGTCAGTGATTTTCAACTGTATTGAAATGATCACTTTGTGTTAATTCAGATTTACTGCAAACTCAGCAAATTTTTAGAGTTAATCATAATAACTTAAACAAAAAAGAAAAAAGGATGTCTGCTTAAAGGCAGTAATGTTCATTAAACAAAAATCAACTTCAAAATTATTAAAAGTCACAAGTGTGCTCATTATTTTCATGTAAATCATTTTTGGCAAAACAATGCATCTTGATTAATATGAACACTCCAAGACAAATGTATTTTGACAAATTAATGCAAATATCAGTCTAAACAGGAACATACATACTAGATCTTAGCACCAGATACCAAGACCAATGCATTTGATAGAGACTAAATGAGACGCTCTAACAAAGCCAGCACAGATTAAGTATTGCACAAATCAATACTTTCAGTCACACTGGTATTCAAGTACTTCCTTGTGACAAACATTTTTTCTACAAACAACAACAGATATCTCAACAACTTCAACAAAACAGGAACTTAAACTTGAGACAAACAAAACAACAGAAGAACAAAAACATGCACGTTGTTAAAAAACTAATAATTTGTTAAGTCAGTAAAACATTTAACACACTACATACTTCACAAATTGTACAAATCATATCCAAATGATGAGATCAAAATGGATAATAGAAAGGATGTATAAATACAGATAGGCCTTGAAAATAAATGAAGGGCCATATAATCAAAAACAGCAACATTTTATAATAAAAGACTATCACTGGACATTTCATTGCATATTCACATCACTTTCATATAAGGAGATTGTGGCTAGTGATAAAGAAGTTTATTTTTTCAATAATTTCTTCATTAACTGAAGCATATAGTATTTAACAGCCAATTTTTCTGAACAGTAAGTTAATCTGTTTTCAGATATATTTTTCTGAACAGTAAGTTAAACTGTTTTCAGATATATTCCTCACAATATCTAAAAATGCAGACCTACTCTGAACTGGATTGGCACTGGTTTAAATCACAGTAAAAGGACTGGCAGTAACACAAAAAGCCAACAGTAAGCAGCAAAGCAATCAATGTGACATGGGTTGCACTAAAATGTATAAGGATGTAATAAATTGCGTGCTATAATTTTAGCACCATATTATCACACAGATTTTTTTTAAACCATGAAAATAGCTTTGGCTGCTTTAATGACCAATTGTACAAATCATATCCAAATAATTAGATCAAAATGGATAAGAGAAAGGATGTACAAATAAAGACACGCTTAGGCCTTGAAAATATCTGAAGGGCCATATAATCAAAAACAGAAAAATTTTTTATAATAAAAGACTATCACTAGATATTTCATTGCATATTCACATCCCTTTCATATAAGGAGAAATTATGTGCTACAATTTGAGCGCCATTCTATTACATATATTTCTTTAAACCATGGAAATAGCTTTGGCTGCTTTAATGACTGGTTGTACAAATACCACCATGGCCAACAGTTTTACCGTACATCAAAAGACCCAGTATCAAGGATTTCTGCTTTCATCTAATCAAGTGATGCAATAAACTCTAAAATATGGAAACAGTTGAAGGACAGAATAGACTGGGTATGTCCTAGTATCAGAATACCATCTCTAGGCAATAATTTCCATTTTCCCTGTCAAAATGCAAGGCTCTGCATTCAAAGCAGTGGATAATATTGCAAATGGATTGAAGCACCATTTGCTTAATGACCATTACCTTCACAGATGATAAGCAGAATTGCATTACGTATTTAGTAGTTTTTCATGTGTAACGCAGTCTAAAATACATTTGTCCCAGTGAATACTTTAATCTCCTGTTATTGGCACAGTATAGTATCACACTTACATGATATCATATATCTGAGTTCTTTTAGAAAGGTACTTTCCTAACGAGATAGAAAACAACAAAGCATCCAGCAAATCCACTACCTTTTATGTCCCTGCAGTAAGGTGTTCCAAGCACTGGTGTTCTGTCAACAGAGATGTTCTGTCAACAGTGTCTATTATAAACATGCATTGAAAATCAAATGTGTGTAAACTTTCAAAGAACAAATAAATCTAACAAAAATGATGAGGCTCAAAATGCTTAATATTAAGAAACACCACTTTTAAAAATACTTAACAGTACCAATAAGAAGAATTAAACTAAGATCTTTTAAATTTCTGTCCTTAATAAGTATATAATTTTGTTTATAAGATGTTAGTTTCAAGGAATCTTAAAATTGAAACACATTTTCATGAATTCTCATCATCTCTTTCAGTGTGGAAGGTCACTTAGGCTGATCTAATGGTAGCTGCATGACCTCAGGTGACCAAACATTCCCAGAACCTATCATACTAACTGTGGATTGATCTATCTCCATGGGGTTTCTTGCAAAATTGCTTTCAGCTTAAGCAGCTTAGCTGTCATGCCTACTGAAGCTGCTTGGGGGTAATTATTAATTATTGTTAAGCAGCTTCAGTAGGCATGCCAGACATCTAAGCTGCTTAAGCTGAAAGCAATTTAGCGAGCAACCCCTCTGAGATGGATTAATGCTGTTATAAATATTGATCTAGGTATAGCAACCTAGCTTACTAACTAACATCTTACACATGATATGCCAGGAATTGACAAAACAGGGGTCTTCCAGAAGACAGTCTGATTTTCAAATTAACATGGACGAGTATCTAATTTTTAATGTCGGAAGAAGGTAAAAAATAGAGAATGGATCAAAAAGATAACTTGGAAGACTGTCTGAAAATATCTCTGGATCCGCCCCTGAAATATCTATTTCTTATAAAACTTTGGTCTTAAAGCCAGGTAATATTAACTGGGCAAAGTTCCAATCCTGTATTTGATACTGTTATTACAGTGCAAGACTGCTCTAGTCCATTAGATAAAGTACTGACCAGGAATGGAGGCTATCAATATAAACCAAACTAGTCACATTCTAAAACATTCGTGTTGCTTCAAAAGATGAAAGTGGAGAAGAATAGGTTCTGCCTAAATGAGGTGAAAATCCATCAGCTCTTAATGAGAAAAAATAAAATAAATCAAAGAAAGAAAAGGCAAGCTTCTAGTTTAATCCTATTTACCATCACTTTCTACGCTGAAAGATAATGAAAAAATCAATAATGATTGCTCTTCCTAGAATTGTTCATTTAATGGCTTCAACAGAAAACCAATAGTAAAAACAATTTTTACAATCCCATAGGAATCCCTTTGTGTTGGCACTAATTCTTGAGTGAGTAATTACATTTAAAACAAATGTGCTGTGGACACTTGTAAACTGAAATATCACATGCACATTGCAAAATGAGTCAAACTTACACATGCTTCTTAAATGTATATCACAGACACACATTATCAAAGTTAAAGCTTAAATATTGTACTTTGGAGCATATACTCGTACAGCATGCAGCCATACCTTCTCAAAGGATGGTTACTTGCAGCAACAGATACTGTACAGTCAAAATAACAAAACTGGCCAGATGGGTCAATGAAACAATGTTCAAAATCACACAAAATTGTGATGGTTTGTAAATGTTTTGAAATAAAGTTTATCAAGCATATATATTTCTTCAACTTCTCAACATGTTCTCATATGGATGTTTAATCACATACTCACACACAGTCAAAAACACACACACAAGCATGCACATAGATATAAAAACATAACAGTAGTGTCACAGTGTGCAACAAGCAGACTTGATCTAATATTTGCTCACACTTATTGATCTGGCATTTCAAATTTTACAGTAAAATGTAAATATATATGCCACAATTTTTGTCACATCCCAATTTTCTCGAGTTCAATTTGCAAGAAAATATATAGCTTTCAATCGGTATGTTTAAGTTATTATTTAAGGCACAAATGTGTCATGTTAGCCTTAGCCTGGACATGCATACACAACTCATTACTGGCAGCCAACTGTAATCACATTAACAAGAAACAATACCTTTTACTTTTCCTCTGTCCATCACTTTCACTGTCTCCCTCAGAGTCGGAACTGTCTGAGCTGCTATCACTGCTGGAACTTGAACTGGAGGAATCAGAACTGGAACTGTCTGAATTAAAACCTGTTGGTTTGCTGAGGTCCACTTTGTCAGCCACCGAAGACAGGTCAGGTCTGTAGATCTGATTTTAAGGTAAATGACAAGTGTGTTATGAGGGCAATATCCAGCTGTACACATTTATCATGCCTGTTCATCAATTATCAAATCAAAATTGGCTGATGCATTTTCTAGAGTTCAGAGCAATAATGAAAAGTGCCACAAGGTCTGATAAATGGGATTGGAAGTTATAACTTATATTCTTAATATCACAAGCCTCTCTATTTTGCTATCTTCAGGATTTTAAGCTGTAAAAACCACACATACATATCTCTGACACGGAAATTATATACATTTAATCAGATTCCTGATATTCAAATTGTTTGAGTGCTGTTTTCACTGGTCAGTTACCACTTCCATTACCTTTAACTCCCTGTACCACTTTTTGGAGAGCTTTGGCCTTCCTCTCACAGTTTTATGCCAGACCACAGGGAAGTTGACACTGCTGCAGTAATTCTGTGTCACTGCTATCGTGTTGTCAAGGTTTAGCACCACGTGCCACCACCCACCAGGAATAAAAACAGTCTCCCCTGGTTTTTGGAGAATCTCCAACTGGAATTTAATGGTTATTTTTAAAGAAGCATTCAAACAGATAACAATAGTATTTCTACAAAATTATTGTTGTTTCTTACTGAATTACCAATGTGTTATTCCTTAGGCTTAACTTTTTATGAAGCATACCATTTCACACAATTTGACATTTTGCACTTATTTTTTGCTAACAGAATTATATTATGGTTCTGCCTAACATTTCCAGCACATTTTGAAATTTTGATATTTCTTTAAAAAAATGATCATAGTATTAAAAGGCCATAAAACTTCTCATATTTACTGCTTTATATTCTTCGGGCCAATCTGGCTGCTGTGTGCGTGGATAGACAAATTTAAACCAAGTCACAGCTTCCTCTTTTTGTCTTCCACCTTCCCCGCTCTTTAACTTTATTAGTTCTTTAGGAGTGGTGGTGGGAAATAGGCACCACCTAAATAAACAAGCCATTGTGTTAGGTGAGATTTATAAATAAACAAGCCATTGTGTTAGGTGAGATTTATAAAGTAAAATAGGAATAAAAAGAATTCTCCGATGTAAGAACATGATTTTAAGTAATATCTATTAATTGAGTCTCAATAATTTACATGGCAATTAACTCTTTGGAACATATCACATTACTCATAATTAAAATGTTATTTCTCTCTAGTAACATTGTTACTTTTCTTAAATCCAAATCACCGAAAACGTTTAACTGGACATTTATCAAAAATACATTTATTAAAAATTCATCAGATAACTAATGTCCATCAGATATAGTTCTGCTATAAACAACTAATCACTGAAGAAACAATCATAAATCATTAGCTATCTAAAAGGTAAGACTGCTGGTCATTTCCTAATTTTCAGTCAGCAAATCCACTACCTTTTATGTCCCTGCAGTAAGGTGTTCCAAGCACTGGTCCCCAGGGGGTCTATGTGAATCCCTGTCCCTGACCTGGCCCCACCCATCACAAACCACCTAGACAACATACAAACATGAAACACTTGTATTCTGGACATAAGTGAATTTCTGATTTACACATTGTTTTGTAAATTATATTCCCAATCTTTTTAATGCAGCCATTCAAATGAAGTACTTTTATTTTATTTATCACATGACATATCAAAATGTCAGAGGAATCATATAATAAATGAATGTCTTGATCTGCACTGTTTTCTTTAAAATGCAGACTAAATGAAAATTCATGCATTTTTATATTTGTCAACATATATGCAAACAATTCAACTATACCTGTGAAAAATTCCATTTTTTACCCAAAAAACAAAATATATAATAATCATATTAAATAAGATGCTTAAACTATGTGTATCTGATTCTGAACAAAAACTTACCTATAGGGTGGCCTCTTTGATTCCCCTGAATATTTAAACAAATCTTCAGTAAAATACTTTGGCACTTCATAATCTTCAAGCAACTTTTTCCTTTTGGGATGCTAAAAAACAGAAAATGCATTAAAAAAAAATGATGACAGCCTTATTTTTGAATGACAAGGGCGTAGGAATGAATTAAATCTGTCAAATGATTTGTACATTTTAAGATCATTTAATAAGCTTAATGCCTGGGTAATAATTACTTCAAAAGTGTGAATGTGATTTTTAATATTGCTAAATTTTGATTTATTATCATATGCAATATGGAATGCTCTGTGCTCTACTAACCTCTGCAAAGCTACTGTCAAATATATAGAGTGGGCTGTCATCTCTGTTACATTTGGTATAAGCCACAAAGTACTTCATCTTCATCTTGACAGAGTAACCTTCATCATCCTCGCCACACTTAAACTTTTGGTTTCTGTACTTCTTTGCAAGTCTCTGCAAATCATTATGAAAACATGTTTGTGTGATCCTTGAAGGTACAAAATTGTGATAATGATTGATTGTTTCTCTTGAATGCTTTTAAAAATTACAATGAGAAACATTTTGAATTAGATTTCACTGAATCATCTTTTACACCCATGTTATAAATTGAGCAGTGCATACATTTTGTCATGACATTGCACAAACTGACATTGTACTACAATTAATTTTAAAAAATAATTTTAAAAAAATTATAATGTTGTCCACAATACATTATTTGTGATAAAAAAAGATTTCAATTGTTATACTAAAAGAACTTAAAATAACCAATAGCATATACAATATAAAGTAAACTGAAAATCAATTAGCAGCAAAGACATATGGGCTGATTCCAAAATGATTCTAAATTAATAAATGAGAATTATGAGAATAAAATAACTGACACAACTATGGTTTTAAAGAAACATATTTGCCCTGAGAACTAAAACAAATTTGGCCTCAAGTATAAAGAAAGAAAAAAATAGAACTCAGCTGGGGGCTACTCTTATTGAAATTATAACAAAAGACACCTTACATGTAATAAATGAATCAATTGATTAAACATGGCCATAGTAATTGACTCTCTATCTTTCATCAATTATTCAATACAAATGATGTGGCTTTTGTATGTAAGCAGCATATGTTTTGGAATTATAACAAAGTGGGTCAATTTTTTTCTTTTGTCAAGCAGAAGATTATACAGATTCCATACGTCATCTTCATAAAATTAATCTATTCAATATTTTCTGGAAACTGGTCACTGAAAAAAAGACATTATGGTTCAAAAGCTGTTTTCTATTTCAATATGCTGACATAAATTTTCCTAAACATTTTCTAAACTGTTAAGTTTTTTCAATAAATAAACAAATGAATGGAACAACTACTATTACACAAAATCAGTCTTTTTCCTTTCATTTTTGACATTTCTGTCTATAAAAATAAAAAATGATGCAAACCTCAGCGAAACCTGTATTTTTATATCACTGCCTTAATCACCTATTAAATATCATAAAAAATTGTTTTCTCTACCTCATAAGTCCACTTTGCAGTTGCTTTCCAGCCATCAGTCAAGTGAGTAATAACAACAGGTTTGTAGGGAATTTCATATTTCTCCCTAAACTCCTGTAAAGAAATTTTCTGCCCATCAATCCTATCAAAAGTGTCTCTTAATGCCACAGGGTCTGGATCCAAATCAAATGTCTGATAATAGTTAAGCTCTTCCCAGGCTCCTGGTTTACTAAGTTCTGAAAAAGTAAAGTTACCTTATTAACTAAATGAACACTCAAAATAAACAGAATTTTGTTAGTACATATCCATAAATTTAGCAGAGAGAGAAATCTTATTGCCTTTCTGATCTTTCAAAATGACAATGGATGCACTTGTACATTTCCCAGGATAGTGATTGTTCAAAATTCCTGGAATATTTAACTATCAAAATGAATGGGAAGATGAGGTGATTTTTGGTATCTAAAATTCCATGCTCTACATATATATGTATACTTATCGACTTATACACATACCCCCCCCCACCCCCCCAAAAAAAGAAAAATGCAAGAATAAAAAAAAAAATAATAAAAAAAAAAAAATAATAATAAAGATCAGACATCAGTAAAACTGACTGAGGTCACTCTGCCAGAATGATCCGACAGCTTGATTATTCATGTTGTGTATATCAATACAAATTATAAATAACATCAGTTTTTCACACGTGACATTCTAAATGAAGCCTATCTAATGCCATTTACATGCCATAGAAATGAGAATATATCAATTACAGGCCAGTCATCAAGCAAGACTTAACATGGTTATAGTATGATTTCTGTAACAACATTTGGAAAAATACAGCACAGCTAGTAACTTATTTACAAGAAAGTTGCTAACACATGATCTCTCTCACAATGAATTAGAATACTGAACTTTAATCAAACTTGTTACAAATCACTTGTTGGTCATTATGAAAAGTTTTACTTTTGGGACCTTTTCTGCTATTTCTGACATTATGTTATTAAGTCAATGTTTCCTACATAATAAAAGATTTCATAATAAAAGATGCCTGAACAAGACCATGTCAGAGTGAAGATTTTCTATGTTGTATCGTATATTCTAACATTAATACACAAAAACTGCAGAGAACCATATTTACTGACACACCACTGCGAACTTGTTACGATATATTAACGTTATAAGAAAACCGAAAGGCTCAAAGTAAGTATTAGCAAGGAGTTATAACTGTTATAACTCCTTGGTATTAGTAACACTAACGTAACAAGTACTGAAATAAACAAAGTACTACTAGCAGTAGTAGTTCATATACAGGTACATTGTACCGTGCCGCAATGCACGTATATCCCACAAGGCATCTTTCAGTTTTATTATCGGTATCTTACCAGGTCGAGCTTTTTCTTTGGCTTCACATACTCTTTTCTTACTCCTGTGGTCCATAAATCACCAAACACCTTTTCGCTAGAAGAAAAAGAAGCTATTTTTATGACAGTCCGAACCTGAGAAGGGGAAACGTGAAGCGGAAGTATATGCATTCCGTGCTGTTCAAGAGCAATGATTCCGATTGGTTCTTTGAAATACTTGGCTGAGGTAAAGCGAAAATCTTGATACAGTAAAGATTGGAGGCAAAATTCAGTACTTTACAGAATGGGGGGCTATTTGCTTGTATGAATGAGACAGGTTAAGATAACTGTTTGAATATACATAAAACTTAATAATATGGTAGATGGAACAAGAATCACAACTGGTAACATTTTCCTGTGTATACATTACACAACTAACACACTTTGCTCTTCGCAACAGCACGGAAAGATCTTAATTGCCTCAAGTGAGTTTCACATCTTTGACAATAAATCATTAGATCTACGTCGTAAAGTAAGTCGTCAAAAAGTAAGGGTCATTTTGCATAATAAATGAAATTCGCAGAATTGTGATAGCCCAGAGTCGTAATGAATTATCTACATAATAGCAAAAACTCTGGTATTACAAAAAATATAATGGGCGGTGCCTTCATACCAGGTTCTAGTTTCTACCAATTCTCGACCTGAGAAAATACTTTGGCATGTGACACGATGAATTGTTATTTGAACCCCCCCCCCCCCCACA